AATAAGTAACTTGTTAGTTATTTTAATATTAAATTGCTATTTATTAATAATAAAATGTAACAAAAATTTTTATTACTTATTATATAATGTTATACAATAAACATTTAGAAAAAATTAGAAATTAAAAGTTTTATTTCTAAAATATACTATTATAATTAAAAAGCTTTTAAATTATATTTATTACCATTAAGATTATCTATGATCTCTGTTGAATCATCAATGCTCATCTTCTGAGCTTCTAAGTTTTTAATGTTCTTAATTTTAAAATCTTTGTTGTTATTGATCATTTTATTGATTTCGATGGGTAAAACTTTTAATTAAAAGTTTTACCGTTATTAATTTTAAACCGAAGCATTCTTTTAGGTAACACTCCCCCTTCTCTGGTTAGGTTCCACTCAAACTTGAAACCAGTTTCTTCTTCAGAATTTTTCAGCTTAACTAGATCGTTTCTATGCATCATGATTTCTTGACCATCTTCAATAGACTTAATAAGATATGTTCCGTTTTTAAATTGTTTAACATTTAAATAAGGTTCAATCCACTTTTTATCTAATTTATCTCTTAAAAAGTTTCTTCTTAAAACTACATTTCTTTTTTTAAATTAATACCTGATTTCTTATTTCTAATTTTACAAATTTCTTTTTCAATTTTTCTTCAATTTCTTCTTCAATCAAATTTTCTTCTTTCTTTTATCAATTCATACATCAAATTTCTTTCAACATCTGTAAGAGCTATATTTTCAGCATTCAATTTTAAATTACATTCCTTTCCAAATAAAATTTCAAAAGGTGATCTTCCTAATTTAGCCATTGGACTAATATTATACATAAAAGTTGCCATGTTAATATCCTCGTCCCAGTTCATTTTATTTTCACCAATGATTTTAGATAACTTAATTATGATTGACTGGTTTGTTCTTTCTGTTAATCCATTGGCTTCAGGATGATAGGGTGGACTCTTTGTCAACTTTATTTTCCAAAATTTAGCTAGTTCTTCCATAACATTATTAATAAATTCCTTACCGTTATCCATCCTAATCTCAACAGGTGAACCATACTTAAAAATTACTTCATTTAATACGAAATTTGCTACTTCTTCTTTACTTTTATTTCTTACTGCTTTTGTTATTGCATATTTACTTCCATAATCAGTTACTATTAAAATATATTTATTTCCTTCCTCACACTCTAGTAGTGATACTATCGTATCTATTCCAATTCTTTTCCATGTTGATATATAATCACTAAATAATATTTTATGTTTAATTTTTTTACTATATTCTTTACATTTTATACATTCTTTAACTATTATTGTTATCTTTTTTAATAAATTTTTTATATCACATTTATCTCTCAAATAAATATACATAGATTCAATTCCACTATGACCTAAAATTTCATAAGTCCTTTCAATTAAATTTCTTTCTTCTTTATTTCTTTCTTCATCATTATTCTTTTCAATATTGTTTATTTCTATTCT